GAAGAGTTTAACAAAACATAAAGATACAAAATATAGCACTTTCCTTGCAGAAAATCAAAATCCATGCGCGCAGAACTTTATTATCAACTTATTCTTGAAGTATCAGTGTCCCTAAAGTTTCTAGATTTGTTGTGTCATTCTAGATACCATGTAACACATACATCAGTTTATATTTAATTCCTCTCATCCTACCTGTGGAATATAGGTGAATATGTGGATAATATTGAACCATATGAGTTTTCTCAACAATTTTTATCATCTTAAGAACATACTATTTGCAAACTTCTATAAGATGTCAGACACATTTCATCTACTCATGAGTTAAGAAAAAAAATCTCATAGCAACGCGACATGATTAACGGCAAGACACGAAAGTTTATTACGAGTTCATTTGTTGAGTGTAATATTACATGTACATATATTATGGGTTATTTGTAGTTCTCCCAGAACAAATCGAGAGAATACACTTCTAGTGTGAAAAAGAATGGCATAGGGATAATTTACTTTACACTTTTGGTATCATTCAATAGTTTTCTATACTCAATTTAGCTTTAGTATAATTCAAAGAAGCACAGTCCAAAATGATCCTATAGTCTAAGCAATGCCTTTTAACCATAAAACTTGTTTTCAACATAGATATTTTGTGAGTACTCCTAAACAAACTAACACGTGTACCAAAACTGAAGAAGAATTACAAAAAAGAACTGCGAAAATGATGTGAAATGGTCTTATCACTCTGCAAGAAATGTTGGAACTTTAAATAGAAATTTGTATTGAATAAAATTTATAACTGCCCGTTAGTTTACTAAAAATTAAAGAAGTTGAGTGACGCTTCTAATTTTTGAATTATATAGCTTCTAGTGTTACATCATTTATTCATCCAAAAAGATTAATGTGGAAACGACGACATTAAAAAGAAAAAAGTTGTTTGTAGGCTTGTACAATATGTGAATTAAGTAGTAATTAAACAGGTAGTCCTAATATAAAATAACAAAGAAACAAGGATATTTATCATCATTAATTGTCCAGTCCATCGTGTATGAACAAACTGTTCCTTATTTATCCCTTCAAAAATTGTAGGGAAGTTTTATAGCTACTACACGAAGGCAGTGATCGCTGTATGGCTCTTTGTCCTATTGATCCTGACATCGACCTTCACAGCGAGCTTGGGGTCTATCCTTATTACACAGCAGCTTGAACCTGTTGTGAATGACAAAAAAATAGGATGCAACGGAGCTTCATTCGTAATGAATCATCTTGAAGATGTGCTCGGCTACAAGGACAAGCAGATCGAGCTAATCCCCAAAATAGAGAACTATTCGACAGCATTCAAGAGCGGGGCCATCACAATGGCTTATCTTGAGACACCGTACCTGAAGATATTTCTCTCACAGTATGGTTCTGAACACTACACTGTGCATGGTGACACCCAGCGCCTAGGTGGCTTTGGCTTCGTAAGTGACTTCACTCTTCAATTCTTTACTTGCTTCAAATATAATTTATATCACGTTAATACATCTTTAAGGCAATGCAGATTAACAATCTGCTCCACACCATAGTTACATGGTATGCAGCATGTAGGGTGTCGTCGTACGAATTTGGGTACACAATTCGCCATGTAGAAATTTTGTTTGAGGGTACCCAAGTTTGATACATTATTATGTCGTAAATAATTTTCGGGTGCGCTTACCATTTTCAAAGTTTATAGTAGAGAACTATAAACTAAAATGTTATTTATGCATTTCAATATTTTTGTGTACAAAATACTTCAATACTTCATTTTCAAAATTTGTGAATGCATGAGACAAAACACACAACAGCAGTGACTAAGCTTCTTAATAATTTTTTCTCCTTCCAAATTTTCTTCCCCTTAGCATCAAGTTCATCTTCAGATACTTCCGAATCGAAGTAATTCTGAACGAAAACTCAGAGATATATTCCTTCATCTCTTGTTTGCCTATTATGTGTGCGGTCTGTGCCTCACTTCACTCGATTGCATGCAACATATTGTGCATTGCCAATGTGCAGATCAAGGGACTTTGCAATCAAAATACTTGTTAGCAGTATTCCAATTTACCGTATCAATTCATGTAACAGAGGGAATTGGTTCGCGCAAATGTACCAGAAATCATTTTGTCGGAATTGTACAATGTTTTTTTTTTGGGGTTGGGGGGGGGGGGGGGGGGGAAATTGCGCAACTATGCTACGTACACATCGAGAGTGGGTTTAAGAAATGGATGATGTCTCGGATCTTAGGGAGGGAGGGAGGTGGGTTCTGGTTTGGATCCACTTCTGGTCTGAACTTAAGTTTAGAACTAATCTAATTGCATAATTAAGTAACCCAATCCCAGTTTGATTTTGGCGGGTTTGGGCGTTGATCCACTTTGTGTCTGAGAGAGGGGAGAGATATAACTCCAGTACAGGGTTAATTTTATTGGATAATTAAGGAACCCAACCCGAGATAGATTTTAAGAGAAAACACTGGTGTGAACCTATTTGATAGACATCTTTCAAGGGAGCAATACCAAAAAATGCTTTCCGTTACTGACTACGACCAAACATAAAAATTAATGTATTAGATGCAAATATGAACATGAGAATATAGCATAAGACTACAGGAATTCTGACAGGACTTACTTCCACCATATTTATACTTTTGTTAGCAAGTTATTCCTGTTCTCTTATTCGTCCATATATTTCTTTATTTTAGGCTTTCGCCAAGAATTCTCCATTGATCGCAGATTTCTCAAAAGCCATACTGCAGTTATCTGAGAGTGGAACTCTAGGCCATTTGGAGGAAAAGTGGTTTTCACAATCCTTGGTTACTTGTCCTAACACGTGCAATACTAAAACGATGGATAACTTAACACTTGATAGCCTGTGGGTGTTGTTTCTGTTAACTGGTGCTGCTTCCACAATTGTTCTCCTCCTATTCAAGTCTGGATTCATCGCAAGCAGCAGCCGACGCAGCTTGGCAGTTGCAAGTTGGCCTCTCAGACGGAAATGTTTACAACTAAGGATTACTTGTAAGTACAAGTCCAGGAGAGGGCTTCCAGTTTCGCGCAGTTCTTCGATATATTCAACTCAAGTAGCTCCAGAATCTGCAGCTGCAGATTCATTAACTTGAAGATGGTGCTGGCGAACAAGGCAACTTACCGAACCAAGATAGTGTTTGGTAATAAAATGTTTTTTCTTCTTTCCATTTTCTGTTTTTAGAGGGACAAGGGGAGCTCATCCGTTCTGTTGTATATTAATTAAAAGGTAAATAATTAGAATGCAAATACCTCCCAATTATGTACTATAAACTGTTGGGGAATTTTAGTCTCCTCGCCTACTACGATTTGCGCAACTTGGAAGCCAACCCACAATCAATAAGATATAAAACAACCACAATCAATAAGAAAGAACACCGAGATTTACGTGATTTGGTCGACCAACTTCGACCAACGTTCACGGGGCAACAATACGAGAAATTCACTATGTATCTAGGAGAACTACAAAAGGAACAACTCAACTCTCGTCTCTCAATCGCTCAACCTCACATACATAATCAATTCTCATATTCTCTCCAAAACCCCCTCCTTACAATCTTTTGAACGGACAAAGACTATAAAATCCTCTCTCAATGATGTAATCTTTTGTAAGGACAAAGAGTACGAAACCCTCGCCTCTTGCACAATATTTTTAATCAGGCTACGCCCTCTGCTTACCCTAGATTACAAGAATATTTGCTCTCTCTTTTTTGCTTGGATTTTCTTCCAACAATAGAAGAATATATATAGGAAAATGTCACAACCCCAAATTCCGAACGTAAAAGGAATATTGAAGCCGGACTAAACCTGTGAAAAATCCTCCAAAATATGCTTTCATTAAAAGACCATCAAATAAACTCTTCATCGAACTAAAACCAACAATAAATATTCTCTATAATTCCCAAAAGTCAACATTAATCCAATTGACTTGATATAAACAAATATTCCTTAACTTGAAATAAATCTCGACCTAAAGGAAAGAATCTCATTATTCCAAAACTCTCAATTTATCAACTAAACATCAAGACTTTATTTAACCTTCACCCAGAAGATAAATACAATCTCGAATTATATTTCTTGCTTCGTTCTAAGAATTTGAAAAAGATCATCAACTCCACCTAATCTCGAGTCTCTGAAAAGAATGAAAACAACACAATGAGTTCACAACTCAATAAGCGAATAAATTCATACATTAGACACTGGTTTTGCAAAACTAAATAAAATAACTTGATAAGCAAAATACTAAAATAGTAAAAAATTATAATGTAACATTTTAAAAATATATACATGCAATGAAAATAAGCAGGTCACGTCTCAATGCGGTCAACACTTTGATACTCTGGTTGACTTGGCAAACCCCACTATTATATAGCCAGTGGTTGGGACGGTGAGACCCAAACTTGGGCCATTAGCGCTAAAATAAATACCTCATAGAGGCACATTGAGTCCTGTTTAAATAACTTGCTTATATCCGACATATACCGGTATATTAACTTTAGATGCATATGCTTTAAGAAAAATCGAACAAAGTTTGTAAAACTAAATACATTATACAAAAATGCTAAAGGCCAACTAGTAGTGAAATCAATCAACCACATATGCATCTTAGCTTACTTCTATACGAAAAGACATAACAATTGATAAAAAAAATAAGCATAGACTTATACCAAATAACCACGTGCATTTATCCAATCAACATTTAGTATGCGAGTAAATCACACAACAGGATATAATCCATCAGAATTAAATCTGCACATACGTAATAAAATATTATATGAAAAATACGCAATGCACAATGCATAAATTCACCACTTACCTTAATACCACAAGAAATCCAAACTTCGCTCACAATTGTACGCTGATGCGTTTAGAAATTCCATCAACAATACCTAAGGCCTCGTTTGGTAGGCGGGAATGGGTTGGAATGGAATGACATTCTCACTTCTCATTCCTTCATACCAAACAAATCTATTTTTTAGATGTTGGAATGTCCATTCCCAGGGAATGACCATTCCCACTTTTTGTGGGAATGAGCATTCCAAGTGAGAATATAGGGAATGACCATTCCCATTCAAGGGAGAATCAAATCAGTTAGGTATTTTTTAATTATACCCCTATTAATAATAAGTTAAGAGAATCAAATCAGTTAGGTATTTTTTAATTATACCCCTATTAATAATAAGTTAATTTATACCCCTATTCAAGGGAGAAGATAGGTATTTTTCAATTTTATACCCCTATTAATAATAAGTTAATTTATACCCCTATTCAAGGGAGAAGATAGGTATTTTTCAATTATACCCCTATTTTTCAATTATACCCCTGTTATGATATGGGTGATTTTGATACTTTATCAAATGAGTTCATTTATATATCTAGAACTGTGGATATCATTCTTTATATTTTTTTGGACCTATGAAAGATGCTATAATCTTTTATTTATTTTTCTTTAATTTTTTAAGACTAAGAAATAGTGAGTATTGTTTAAAAAATATAAACAGAACATACACTTGAGAGATAACATGCGCATTAGTATAACATGCACCAAAATTAATATAACCAATGCATAAATAAAAGTGTTTAGTTATTATCATTAATGTTTATTTTTATCTTATTAAAAATATATGTTGTTGTAAGGACATTATTAGAAAAATATGATTCTATTCTCACTTGTGAACTAGTGACACCAAATATGAGAATGGGAATGAAATTTTCATTCTAACTTCATTTTATAAACGTACCCAAACATGAGAATGAGAATGACCATTCCATTCCCACATACAATCCATTCCATTCCTTCTTCCATTCCATTCCATTCTCATTTCTGTCCATTCCCGCGTACCAAACGAGGCGTAAGAGTCCAAGACCATGCACGGTTGGAATAAACTGAATTTTCCATAGAAAATGGTTATAATTGTTCAGTTTGATAGAGATCAATGATTGAAAATTGTGGAGGGAGAGGGTCGTACGTGATGAGGGAGTAGGAAGAATAGCAGTTGTGAAAAACTAGACACAAGTGTAGAAGAGGAGCACGTGGTCTCTTGTTCTATCTTCTTCTTTGATTTTCTTATTTTTTTGTCTGCGGCTTGGAGGAAAGGCAACACAACTGGGGTTTACTTAATTTTTTTTCTTTATATACTATGTGCTAATATTTCCATAAACCCTTCATCAAATCTTCTTTTGCAGCAAGCCCCTTAACAAATATAAATATGTTATTATAGTTACTATTCTCTTTTGTTGCATAAATGCCCTCTAGCAAACTCATCTACAAATTAATATAGTTAATTCAATTGTTAGGATATCTATTTAAATAGTTACTAATATAGACTTATTATCACCAAAATTTAGGGATATTACAAGAAACCAAGACCCTATCTCTAGCCTAACTTCCTAATTTGAATAGGATTCAAACTCCTAATCATGATGAGACCTAATCTCTTAATCGTGATAGATCTCTAATCTTATCTAATTCTTCTCATGAAGTTATACAAATAATCAAAGACACAATCCTAACAATCTCCACCTTGGATTTGATTCCCAAGCCACCTCGAAGATCTACCATTGCTGTCTTGAAACTTTGCCACTCTCGCTAGAGTCTTCTATTCCTTTTTGCATTTCAAATCAAAGAATATGCACTCATAATCAGAACACCTGCACTCCAACTGGACATCTCGTATGACCCTCACTTTCATCTACCTCGTTGTGGCGCCTCCACCTCTCTTGTGTGCACCAAGAGATCTTTTCCACCTCTGATATTAGACGTAAATCAACCATGCTTCTCCTCCTAACTTGAACTTGACAGTAGTATTTCCCCACTTTTTGTCCTCATACTCCACCTACATCGCTCATCTTGAATCATATCGGTGCACCTCTCCTACTCCATACTACGAGCCAGATGCCTCCATCTCCTCCACTTGGCTTGGACTGAATATGAGCGCTCACCATCTTCATGTCCAATGCCACAATCTCCACCTAATTTGACACTGTCCTCCTCGAGTCTACACACCAACCAACTCTTTCTCCCATGATGACTCTGAATATTTATATGTTGACAACTCTATTGTTAGAATCACGTTTAATTCTCTATACTAGTCTCTTCTGTCGCATACTCCTTTGTCTTATCTGCTATCAGATCTATCTCGTTATCACCATCAGAACTTTTTAGTACTTTCTGACTAAACTGAACAAAATTTGAGAAATCAGATATTCCCATCGCGTTCAGAGCACTCAAAAATCTGGGAATCAACTCCTGGATCGTCGAAACCTACCTCTAAACCCTCGATCGGAAAACAAATTAATCTTCTTCTTTTTTTTCTTCGTCTTGATTCTTGTAACGTTGATCTTCAATCTTGCACGGCGTCGCCTTCTATCTTGTGAACTCCCTTGGGGATCCATCACCATCTCTATCGCTCTGATACCATTTGTTGGGGAATTTTAGTCTCCTCACCTATTACGATTTGCGTAACTTGGAAGCCAACTCATAATCAACAAGATATAAAATAATCACAATCAAGAAGAAAGAACACCGAGATTGTCACACCCCCAAGATGCACAGTTGATTTTGAGATGCATGACAACGCAACACGTGCACAAAGCATATGCTAAACCTGTGGTGCACTACCATATTACAATAAATTTCATTTTAAAAGAAGCTTTATTTGTTTGCGTCGGAAATCGATTTCATTGCAGAGCTCATTTACAATGTTTATCGTTTATAATAAGTTCAAAAGAAAGAGCCTTTTTATAAGACTTTTCTTACACAAAAGAAATAAAAAGACAATCTCCTAGAAACACACGCAGAGACTCTTGTTTAGCACTCTCTGCTTGCGTAGGATCTTTGCCTGTGCCGGGACGCATTAGTCCGTAGAGGACCGAATGATAGATCCAGATTAATGCGTACGAAGGCTTAGTGTTCTTTGTTTTAATTGAGAAAACTTAGAACTAAAGTAAATAATATCAACCAAGTAAGATTATTACTCTTCTCAAGATCAAAACAAGGTCTGATCTCGAGCGAAGGATAAAAAGGGGCTTCAGATCTCTTGAAATCTTCCTCTTTATGCTGAAGTTCACCAAGATCTCTCTAGCCTCTCTCTGAATTTTATGGGTCTGCTCTCACAGGGTCAGCATCTCGCCTCCAAGCTTCAAATTTCAGATCTCCCATGTATAGGGGCCTTAGGGGTGTATTTATAGGCTCCGGATGCTGTGTTTTTGGATAAGAATTCATGATTTGATCTTATCTTTA